CTCAAGGCAGGTTCCATGGCTCGGTCCAGGTCGGGCCAGCAACTAGCTATAGACTTACTTGACAACTGCGTGCGTTCGGTCTAAGACACCCCACCCGACCGATTCCAGCCAACCGTTTCCAGGTTTCATTAGCCAAACCGCAGGACAGGTGGTCTCGGGTCTTACTTGACGACTGGGTGCCGTTCGGTCCGAAATACCGCCCCGCGACCAGCCAACCGGTACCCTTCGTGCTGACCTACAGGTTTTTTCTAGCCAACAGCGGGCCAGGCGGCCTCGGACCTACTTGACCGCTGAATGCGGGTTCGATCCAAGACACCCCCCCGACTGGAGGATCTGCAGTTCCCCCGTAACTAGCCAACTAGCACCCCCTCACTCCGGTCCTGAGACCTACTTGACACCCCCGCCGCTTTCGTGCTAGGACACCCGACCGACAGATTTCATTAGCCAACCACGGGTCGTATGGTCCGGGACGTACTCGACGAGTACTACTTTCTTTCCGTCCGAGATACCCCCCCAATGGGCTAGCCAACGATTACCATCGCTGCGGTGTGAAATTCCTAGCCTTACTTGACAGCCGAGCGCGTTCCACCTCAGAGACCCGACCGAAGAGCTTCATTAGCCAATTGCAGGATGTGTAGTCTCATGCCTACTTGACACCCTGGGTGCGTTCGGTCCGAGATACCCCCCCCGCTGATAGATCCCCCAGCACCCGTATTAGCCAGCTGGCATCACTTCCATCAGCTCCTTGGACTTACTTGACACCTGAGTGCGTTCCGTCCAAGACACCCGACTGGAGGCTTGCCTGTGGGGCCTGTGCCCACATAGTAGGAAAGGGCCTGTGTTTGGTCCGCTTTGGCCGCTTGCGCGAAAGGCGTGAGTTTTGGTGTCCACAATTGCGCGTTTTTGGACACTTGGTGGACTTTGAAAAATTTCGACGCATTAGTGGCTGTGCGACACTACACTTTGTTAATGAAAAATGCATAGACTACACTACATCACACCTTTGGTAGTCAAAATAGCGAACACTGCACTACACACCACACAACACTACAGCCACCAGTGCACAACACAACAATACATTATTAATGAAAAATGCGAACACTACACTACATTATTAATGAAAAATGCGAACACTACACAACACTACACTACATTATTAATGAAAAATGCGAACCCTGCACTACACAACAATACATTATTAATCAAAAATGCGAACCCTGCACTACACAACAATACATTATTAATCAAAAATGCGAACACCACACAAACACTACACTACATTGTTAATCAAAAATGCGAACCCTGCACTACACAACAATACATTATTAATCAAAAATGCGAACACCACACAACACTACACTACATTGTTAATCAAAAATGCGAACCCTGCACTACACAACAATACATTATTAATCAAAAATGCGAACACCACACAACACTACACTACATTGTTAATCAAAAATGCGAACCCTGCACTGCACAACACTACAGCCACTAGTACACAACACAGCTATACATTGCTGATGAAAAATGCGAACACTACACGACACTACACTACATTGTTAATCAAAAATGCGAACACCACACAACACTACACTACATTGTTAATCAAAAATGCGAACCCTGCACTACACAACACAGCTATACATTACTGATGAAAAATGCGAACACCACACAACACTACACTACATTGTTAATCAAAAATGCGAACCCTGCACTGCACAACACTACAGCCACTAGTGCACAACACAACTATACATTGCTGATGAAAAATGCGAACACCACACAACACCACACCACATTATTAATCAAAAATGCGAACCCTGCACTACACAACAATACATTGTTAATCAAAAATGCGAACCCTGCACTACACAACAATACATTATTAATCAAAAATGCGAACACCACACAACACTACACTACATTGTTAATCAAAAATGCGAACCCTGCACTGCACAACACTACAGCCACTAGTACACAACACAGCTATACATTGCTGATGAAAAATGCGAACACTACACGACACTACACTACATTGTTAATCAAAAATGCGAACACCACACAACACTACACTACATTGTTAATCAAAAATGCGAACCCTGCACTACACAACACAGCTATACATTACTGATGAAAAATGCGAACACCACACAACACTACACTACATTGTTAATCAAAAATGCGAACCCTGCACTGCACAACACTACAGCCACTAGTGCACAACACAACTATACATTGCTGATGAAAAATGCGAACACCACACAACACTACACTACATTATTAATCAAGAATGCGAACACTGAACTACACAACACAACAACACATTATTAATGAAAAATGCGAACACTACACTACATTATCAATCAAAATTGCGAACACTACACTGCACTGCACTGCAACCACTAGTACACAACACAACTATACATTGCTGATGAAAAATGCGAACACTACACTACATTATCAATCAAAATTGCGAACACTACACTACACTGCACTG